CAGTGACATTTGGGGAGCGAGAGAATTATACAACTGTACAATGCACAGTATACCGGTCATTGGTCACTGGTCACTGGGTGATGGATGAATTGGTATACAGAGTACTCCGCAAATTTTGTGACTTCCTCGGGAGAACGTAGCAGACCGTATTGTTTCACCCCCCAACGGGTGTCCTTTCAATAATCTCGCAGAACGTGCTTTTGTACCACTCGGGGCGAGCTGTCAAGGTCGCCATGACCCTTTTGCATGAGCGCATGAGTGGTCCCATGTGAATACCAGGGATTACAGCTTGTCAATAACTCGCTCCCTATCGTCAACGTCAGACAAAAAGGAGGGGGAAGACCTTACCTTTGCTGCAAGGAGGTACACATATCACCATAGATGATACAGGTTCAAGATGCTTACAGTACATACACAGCAATACACTTACGGCAGTTCGCAGACCGTGGGACCCTTGCGGGCGATCGTTCAGTGCAGCCACGTGAAAGCAGACCGCATCGCATCGAGATCGTTGCCGACCGAGGATGGCCTCTGCTTCTTCCCTGGTCATCCTCTCGTCCTCATCCTCATTCTCTGTGCTGCACTCCTCCTGTCGGCCGAATCAAACGTTGTTGGCTCCGTGACCCAGAATTGCACTGAGTTGAGTAAACCTCTCAAATTGTTTTCGTATTCGGATGATGTAATGGCCAATGCATACGAAGACAGGTGATTTTACCCTGCTTGAGATGGTCACTTCAAGACATTTTCTGCCAGCCATCCTCATGCATAAAAAATGTACAGCTACCACATCATCACTAACCTCCACCACCACCACACCCACGACCCAGAGGCATCAAGATTCTTGGTTGCAGCAACTGTCTTGGTTGTTTCTCTCATGACAGCTGCCTGTAAGGTGATTCGTTCAACTGGATTGGATCGACTTCAACATCTGGCTCCCACTGAATTGGTGGGCCCCACTTTCCGGTTGGTCCAAGCTGTAAAAGTACTCACTCACTCACAAGTTCCGAGTCAAACAGTCAACCACTAAACTCACCACCAAGAGTTCGCAACCTCGCTTCCTCCTCCTTCGGACCCGGCCACCATTCACTAAACCCATACCACTGGTCAAGAACTGGGACGTCCCAACCATATGCTCCTTTTCATCTTTGACTTCCATTGTTCCAGCCGTCACATTCACCCTCGTCCCAATCTGTTTGCTACTTGCATTTGAAATCAGCCCTCGCCTACTCGGCACAACATGGTACTATACAGTACATGATTGCCATGTACATCGGTTAGGACACACACAGAATATTACTGGTAAGAATGGGAAATAATGGAGGCAAGAATTGCAGGAAACTGTCATGGCTGCAAGCTTACGGAGGACCTCGGCACGATCTACGCTTGAGTTGCCCAACTCAGCTCCTACAATTGCCTAAGTAGGACAAGCTCGGCTCGGATGACTTTGGTCTGAAATTTTACATTACTGCCATTATCGCCTTCGTCAAGTTGAGAGATGCTCACAACGATTGTGCTTTTATGCTATTGAGCAAGCGGAGTAGCCGGCAATTTCTGACTTCACATCGATGGGTCTTTCAGGATAATAATGGGTAGAAGTAAGCAAGTCGAACCGGGCGCAACGCTTAATTAGGAAAAAGAAGGCTACCCCCAAAGAGAAGAGATGAATACAAATCGCAAAAATCGGCGGAGCCAGCTATCCGATGCGCTAGATCCCTTGAAGTGGGGGAACTAAGCACCTTTCAACTCTGGTACCTGACATTCTATCTTTTTGTACCACTATGGGTGTTCTTGACATGGAAAGTTTTTTTACACACGGGCAAAACGTTGTTCTGGCATGGCAGCAGTTGAACCCATCGGAGCCACTGGATGGAAGGGGTTCTTCCCCTCTCTCCACCTTCCTTCCCAGGCTTCTTGGCTCCAATTGAGACTTTTCACCCTCCCACACCCTCCCCAGAAGAGAAAAAAATGAAATAAAATAAAATTCAGTTAAAAAGATTGAAGACAATTGAAATTGAGGGGGAAAAAAGGTGGCCGCCTCGTGGCGGTGGACACTCCTGTCGCGGTCCTGTCGCAGCAGATCAACCCTCCCTTGAATGCTTGGCCGTTTCTAGACGGATGACCTGCTTTAGCTATTATGGCTTTTTGGGTAACGATTTGCCGGCTTGTCCCTTTCGCTTTAGGCTTCAGGTCTAATTCGATCTCTCGTCGCCCTCTCGAGTTTACCAAAACAATCGCGACCTGTGTTAAATCCAGCATGCCGAAGTGAGCGTCAGTGGCTGTCAGCCGAGCGGATAGTCTACCGGATTCGCGACCACATCATGTCCGACCAAGGGTGAGTAATGCACTGTTATACGACCCAGGGTCAATTGTGATGGATCATTGCGGTCCGGGGGGTGTGCTCAACTGCTCGTACTTGAGGATGCAATGCCAAGAGTCATATCAGCAGCATATGATATTTGCTGTATCATTTGTATCTCGCAGTAGTCTCAATGAAACCCCATGCATTCATCACTCTGTGTCACAAAGATCTGCTGGGAGCATTGGAGTCTTGAGAAGGACATGGGGAGACTGATGATGCTCCATCGAACACACTAAAAGGCGCTTGCATCGTCGATAGGACTCCTTGGGGTTGCGTAAGGAGCAGCAGGCAATGGAAATCGGAATCGCTCAGGGAGTAGAGATGAGATGACTGGGCAGGCGGTTATTTGTGATAGACTAATGAATTGCCCTTTTCAACAAGGGTACTACGTGTGAGCTGCAACAGATCATTCTTCACCTTTTCTCTATTGCTTCTAATTTAAACTTTCTCCCTCGACATAATCCGGTTCATTCTATCTTTTTTATTCAGACTCATTCATCAACTATGTTCTGACTTTCTCAAGTATCACACCCGAGCACTAGGTAAGGGCGGCCGTGAATCTTGTGGAATGATCCTGAGTTCTCCTCGGGGCTACCAGGTTTGAACCATCCATGCATCTGTCGTTATCCCATGCCAGCTTTCTGAAAAGAATTGAATTGTTCTATCTGCAGTGGCCGTCACCTGTTCTTTATGCCTGTTGATTACACAGTACTTTTAACTGCTGCTGAAAGTGTCTCCACTGACTGACTGTTCTCAGACCCGCCCTGGGGTTCCTCGCGCTGACTAGTTTAGTCGACTACCTAGGTCTGCAGACACTGACAGATAGATAGACAGAAAGACATACATACGATATACATACATAGATACATGCTCCGTACGGTAGACTAGACTAGTCAGAACATATGAACGATAGCTCCCGCGCCTAAAAAGTTGGCGACTCGGTCATCCATCATTTTTCATCCCGATTCAGCCTTAGTGCCTGAATAGAAAAAAAAAAAAAAAAAAGAAAAAAAGAAGAGGAAAAGAAAAAAAAATAAATTAAAAAAAAAAAACATTGCGAAGGTATATCGGGAATATCGGGATTGAACCGAGAAG